GCAGAGAGCCCTGCTCTAGTGCCTCCTGGCTTCTGGTCTGATCCACTACAGGTATGTGGCTGCATTTCCTGAATCAAAGGTAAATGTCTGTTCACTTCTGTTTCAATTTAATCTCTGCATTTTAGACTAACCTGCAAAGACTGAATCGATTCAGCCTCAGGCTTTTTGACTGTCCATACCTAGCCTAAGGCAACTTCACACACTAGCAACTCTGCCTGAATCTCTCATTACAGAAGTACATAAGTGTCCCAGTTAAAGCCAATGACTTCTAGAGAACAGCAGAAGGAGAAAGGTTTGGCTAAATAAGAAGAATTGTATCAAAACACCCAATATTTTAATGAAAGGAACTGAATATCCACACATTTGCACTTATGTACATTTTTGTGAGATATATATATATAATTTTAAGCTGTTTACAAATAACATTTAATGCTTCAAATATTACATAATGTTGATATTATATTTCTAGCAGAAATAAATATATTGCACTTAAAAAGAAACTTTTCATTAGATGTTGCTTCATAGTTTATGTTCATAACTTCTTTTTCCATAAAAAGATTTCCCCCAACCCCATACACACAAACACACGCTTCAGTACATGATGAATGTGCTCACATAATGCATTTTAAAGAACAAATTAAACACAGCAAACAGCAGAACTGTTAAAGAGGCTACATCCAGTTTTTACCTTCTCTATTTTGTAAAAGAAACCTTTTCTCATATTTCTGAAGGTAAAATAAGAAAATAAGAGACTATTTAAAATGTGCTAGAGGTAAAATACAGCAAACTGTATTTTTTGTCCATAAGCTATAATAAGAAATTACTCCGGGGTACTCACTGAAATCATTGCCTAATTTTCTTGTAAAAAGGTAAGGAAGAGAAAATAAAAAACATATCATTTGGTAGACCAGAAATGATAATCATACTCTCAGCCCTGCTAGGAGCTAGTACCAGTGGAAAAAAAAATCCTGCCGCAGATAGGGACAGACAGTCAGAGAAATCAAATCTCACAAAAACAAACCAAGAGAAAAACACCTTCCTGTGGTGAAAAACAATGTTACTCTCACTCCTGCACAGAGAATCAATGTAAGAGCTATTTCTAGAGCAGCTCCCCAAATAATAAGACTTGCATGGCACATGGGCCTTCCTGGCATCTCTGCACACAGGTGAACTTCATCAGTCTGTTCTGGATGCTTCTTAAAGTATATTTAAATATAATTTTCATTAATACTCCATTAATACATATACATAGAGAAGTCTCAGAGGGCCTAATCACACTATCAGTTCATCATTTAGCACGTGCTGAGTACTGCAAGCTTTTTTTTTTTCTTCTCCCATCAGCATGCTCTGCCACCTGGCCAAAGAATACACTATTTGCTTTGTCTGCCAGACTCTCCTAAAGTGCTTGGCACCTGGCAGTTCTCATTATTTTCAAAGCTATAAAGGTGCACATTTGCTAGGATACTTTGTAAATGTTTCTCAGCACTGATGCTGCTGCATGACTGCAACCAATCATGGAGCTCAGAAAACTGGTGCAGGCATTTTTGACTCACAAAGGAGGATGGCATAAGGACAGCCTGCAGCTGCCTCCACTAGAGCCTACTCCCTGAGGCAAAGCTGCATCAATGCTGAAAAATAACTACCACCATATCCCAGAGTGGACAAGATCTGCTGTTTTCCATGGACCCAGAAGGAACCATTTGAAAGTGATCTCTCAACCCATTTCTCTGCACTTCTTAAATCAGCTTATGCCCAGTGTAATTCAACCAAGGAGTCTGAATTTGTGTACTTGGCAGTCCCCTCCCAGCAGGCAGCCGACCAGATGGGAAAGTTCTGTGAAGTGAATGGCCAGATTTAAAATGTATTTGATGTCTAACGTCTTTCAGATTCCAGAAATAAAAAAGACAAGCCAGATCAATGCATCTAAACAGTTGTTTTAGTCTTTGTGATGCCTTTGTTAAATACAAGACCTGAAGCTTATTACACTTTGAACCAGGCAGTTCAAAAATAGAAGGATAATCTTATCATTCTCTTAGAAAAGCAAATTCAGGCATGTTAACCCAACCCTTCTGAAAAGAACACAGGGCCCATTCTGCTCAGCCAAGAAAGCTCACTCAGGTGAGGCGCTCTCTGTGCGAGAAAAAACATGTGAAATAGTTTGCAAATATGAGTATGAATATTGCCGGGCATCCCTGAGCCATCTACCAGCAGCGGCTATGTTGGCTGAAAGTGATGACATTGTGACATGGTCAATACAGACACCCTGGGAAGAATGTACTGAGTTCGTATCAAAACAAGAACTGTTGTTTTTAAACAAAGATATCCTAGTATCCAAGTATTTAATATTTGGCTTATATGTTTAAGGATTTTGCCCGCAACAAATACTTTAAAGCAGATTGAAAACTGCCTCCTCTATGGAGTTCCTTCGCTGCCAGTATCACTAATGGTAGCTAGCTGGATACCATTAGTAAGATTGCTAGGTGCAGTTCTGTCTCCATTAAGGTCAATGAGAATTTTACCATTGACTTTAGAGGTGCAGACGCATCAGAATGTAAATGGGAGGCACAGATGGCAGGGAATCACAGAAATAATGGGACAGACATTCCCCAGTATCATGAAAACTGCAAGGCAGGTGTTGCCATTCAGTTAGACTATGGTTGAAACCACATGAGCTCCACGGGATTGGGCAGTTGTTGATTTTGCAGATCAAGTCAACAGCAGAAAAGAATGGAGCTGAGAAGTGGACATACAGTCTACTTCTGGTAAAGTGCCCACAAACTTTCCATTGAAAAAAAGAGAGATGCATGCTGGTGGAAACTTCCATTTGCCGAGTTGGTGGGATGAGTATAGTGGAGAATCCAGAAGGAGTTTTCCTACTGTAGGGAGGAACTGGTCATGCAGCAAAATAGAGAGGGCTGACTTTTCAGAGAGCCTAACCTATGGTCTGTGGAAGCAAACTATGGTCTGAGCCTTGTTCCCCACCTGACTGAAAAGACTGCAAATGGTGCCCACTAAAGGGAATATTCCAAATGTATAGTGGGTGAAAATTTGCACCCGGCATGTGTATTTTCCATGGAAGGGGACAGGTAGTGCCAAATGTTTCAGATGTGTATTACTTTCATTTTTGTAATGACTTGCTTTTCACTGAAAATTTTAGCCATTTGCAACAAAAAAATCCAGGTTTTCTCTTGCTAATATACAGTAGTTGTACCTTCATGAGAAACATGAAAGTTTCTCTGAAACATTTTCATGCCCTGTAACCATCACAGGGGAAATTTTAAATGGAGAATAGCATGGCAAGATATAGAAAAGAGCCAATGAGATCATATGACTTATTTCTAAGGCTCTGCTTAATAAGTCTTTGCAAGTCACTCTGAAAGAATAGTTTCCAAATACAAAGACTAGTTCAGCTCATCTCTTCTACCCTTCATAAGATGACTGAAAGTGGTTTACTTGCTTCAGCATTTTCTAGCATATAGAAAAAAACAGTTTTAAAGCTGCTAGGCTGAATTCTAATCAGACTTATACCCCATGCAATGCTAGATAAATCAATGATATTGCATAAGAAATACTGGTATATTAGCTTGGTAAATACTACACCTACCAGTTTATACAGTTGGAAGAGAAGGAAAAGAATACCATTCTTCTTCCAAATCTGCACTGAATATCTCAGTAAGACAATTTTCGTTGCATTTGGAGGGTGGCCTGGAGCCTTTTCACCACACCTCTGGTCTGTAGCTGTTCAGTTTATCTAAGACTGGAGTTCATATCAAAATGGGAAAATGGGTCTTTAACCACATATAACTTCAGCCAAAATGGACACGCAAGTGCAAAATCCTAGTAAATAGGTAAGTCAGGCCAAATTCTGTGCTTGCTTACAGCCTATGAAAGTTGACAAAGCATTTGGACTGTTACCTGAATTTGTGACATTCCCTAATCCAAAAATTATGAGTGGATGATGAAGTTCACCAGTAAAAAAAAAAAAAAAAAAAAACTTACTAGTTGCCTTAAACAATTTTACACCCATCCTTGCAGCATGCTGTACAGTGCATAGGTAGAAGCTGAGGTAATGCTGAAGCAATGGCATCCATTCATTCTATGGCAAAATCATCCAGATTTTAAAAGTAGTCAGCATGCTTAGGGCTTATTGATACACTTCTTATCTGCGGGAACAGATTTTTCGGCTTGATCAGAACACAATGTAACAGAGACTGAGGAAAGCATAAAAAGGTCTTACTGTGAGCATCAGGCATCACCCTTCCTCCATTTGGGAAGAAACATGCTTGGCCCACTTACTCTCATTCCCCATACTGAAAATATATGAGGTAGCCACCAGTAAAGTGGTGCTAGGTATTGCACCAAGAAGCATGCCTGAGCCTTAGAGCAGTACGGATCATGCCCTGGGCATGCACCAGGCAGTGGCAGCATTACATTTTGTTGGCATATCTCGTGAAGAGTGAGACAAGTAGGAAAACTATTTTTCTGGCAGCACTTGCTAGCACAGTCAGAGACAGTGTGGATGTAGCCTTATTGGTAGGGTTGCATATGGCAAGTAAATGGGCTACAGGTAAAAGAGAGATGGGTGACTTGTCTTCAACGTCACTGAAACATGGCACAACATGCTGAAGTCCCTACTGTATCATATTATAACACTTACAGGGTTGGCATATAAGAGAACAGTGCTTTTATGGAAGGTATTCCATTCAAAGCCTATTTTCCATCATCCTAAGATTTGTGATACACTATTGCAAAGCCTCTTTTTATCAGTTGGTTATAAAACTGAGGTTATTAGACATGTACGTCTTGTGCGGACATACAGGAACTATATGTTGACTGAGCTACCTGGACCATTGCCTTTCCATGAGCTTCCTTGCATATGGAGAATTTCACCCTTGTGCACTTAGCCGGTATGAGGCCAGGCATATCTTAAGACTTTATGGCTTATAGGTCTCGTGCTGCCTCTTTGTACCAGGGTAAATTTTGCCCATAATGCTAATTATGGTTCTTACATCAGATAATGACTAGCAACTCCAGTTTACAGCCAAAATGCTACCAATGGCTTACCCAAAAATGCTTAATTAGAAATCCACACAATATCCATTCTCATGAAAAAACAGCATGTGCCAAATTCTCTGTGTTGATATATGTCTCAGGCAACTCTACTAACCATATAGGGACATAAACAAGCAAAAAATTTGGCCCTGACCTACATAAACAGCATGTCTAGTAACAGCATCTGTGACCCAACCCATGAAAATCAAGGGAGCTGGTGAATTGTGACGTGTCGATCATACTCAAGTACTAACATTTGGAAGCTGGGCAGGCAGATCTATATGTTAAAAGAATAGGGTCAAATTTTGTTTTCTCCTTACAAGTGCACAGCTGTGCACAAGGATCCTTTGCAATCAATTGCAGATAAATGTTTTAGTTTAAAAGTTGAAGATTTTGGTTTTCAGATTGAAAAGGAACAGAAGCTCAAAAACAGTATTTGCCTCCATCACTCTTGACAGATGGTTAATTGGCCCCTTCTGAGATATGAGAAGTTCATTTTTCAACTGAAAGCAAAGAATACAATATCTCTGCTGCAATTCTGTAATGCAGTCTTCTTTTCTGACCTGATACAACCTTGTGGACTAAATGAAAATGAAAGAATGAATTCAACTGAATTACATTTGGTTGGTTTTTCCCCCATGAAAATATCAATTAATAATTAATTGTTAACTATTAAATACTGTTCTTAATAAAGATAAGCAAATGTGTGTGTGGGGGGGAGTTAATGAAAAAGGACAATGGTTTTCCCCCGCCCCTATCCGTTTTCCAGCACTGATGCTGAGATAGCCTAAACATGCTCAAAGCTGTAGCAATAAATCTGGGGGGTGGTTGGCTCATATTATTCAGTAGAGAGGGAGTTCAGTAAGAGTATTGCCTCTTTCAGAATCCTTTTAGCATGTGAAAAAAAACCTATACACAATTAATTTGTACACTGTTGCATAATGCAACCTCTTTCCACTACATATGATGCACCTTTGGATCAACCTGTACTTGATTAAAAATCCGGCACACTTTGGAATCCATTTGGCTGTATTAGACACATGGTTCTTTGAGCAACTCCAAGCTGTGTTCTCTTCCAATGATTCTTCAGTGGAGGAATCTATATCCATCATGCATTATGTTAGCTGGTTCTTTATGAGTTCAACTCTCTTCTTCCATAGACCTTTCAGGAAGGTCCCTTGTATTTTCATAGCAAATTTGCACGTTGAAAATCTTGATTTCTCTTGTCTTATGTCAGTCATACAAATGGTGTCATTACTGCAGAGGAGTGACGCAGTCCCTGAATAGCTGCATAAGGCCCCTGCTGAAAATAATGGTGGTATCTGGGCATGTGGAATGAGGGGAACGTTGGGCCACTACCTTGCATCGAGCTGGCAATGGCAGATGGGGTAAGGGGCATTCCTAGGCGGCTGTATGGAGGCAAAGATCCTTGAATTGGATGAGGAATGGGAGTAGCTATAGATGCAGTGCTGGTACCAAGGGCGGTCAAGGACTGCGGGTGCTGAAATCCAGGAAAACTAGTTGATGATGATACCCAAGAGCTGAGAGATAAGTTATCAGATGTGGTAAAAGCTGATCCTGTGAACAAGGAGAAAAATAAATGATTGATGCTCGCATAGTAGTATATAAAGCAACTGGAACAGCAAAAAGAAAAAGGAATCTTATAGAGCAACACTGATTTTAAAGATGAGCTATGTGTGCAAATCAATATTTTCCCCAAAGATTTCTCTCTCTTTCCCTCTCTAACTTCTTTTTATGTTTTTATTCACCAATGGTCCCACTTTACCTGTATATAATATGGATAAAACCTCTCTCTAAACAAGGCTTCATTTTAAGAAACTGGTTGTGGTTGCCTGGACAGTAGAATCAGCTTTGCAAATTGGTTTTCCACGGTATTCCACAGAATCTACCACTTTACACATCATTAGGTTCTACTGATTTTTCAGTCTGTGAATGGATCTATACATTCTATCTACTGTTAATGCTGGTCCCAAAAAGTTAAACATCTGATTATTCAGATTCAAATTTCATTTCATTTCATCACTGAACTGAGGAGATATACATTTTTTCATATCTGGCCAGTTGAGCTGGTTGAAATTTTCCAAAATCGAGTTTGATAAAAGAAGATTAATCAAAATTGTTATTTATGCTGGATTTGTTTTCCACTGAAAGTTTTCCAGAAGAGTTTTATTCATAATTGAGGAATTAAAAACAGTGTCATTTCAAAGCACTTCTGCTATTTTGTTACTACTTGCAGAGTTCTAGGGGTAAGATAGGAACTATGACTGATAAGATCTATAGAATTGCCTTAACACTGAAATCTGCCATAATATCTTGAAATATTGGAAGCACTTCTATTAAAAATTTGTGCTCAACAGAGGAATGCTCTATTTTCATATGTAATTATTTTTATCTTGTAAACTTTCAAAAATTACTAGTTCCAGAAACGTTGGACCACACAGAATTTCTTTTAAATGAAATGTCTTTTTTTCTCAGCATTTCCAAACTAAAAAAGGGGGAAGCTAATTTCTTTAAATTGCAAATGAAAATATATTTGGTTTTGTCAGCAATCAGCCAGTCACTTTCAAAGAGTCTAATGCAGATGTTATAGATTGTTCTACTTGGTATTTAGTTTAGGCTTGTCTTGCATTTCTCCCAACTATATAGTTGGTCCAATAACAGGTTTTACCAAACAAATCCTGTTTCTCACAAAGGCTAGAGTCAGTTAGTACTATTTATATATACAACTGGTTATCGTTATCTGCCTGGGTTTTGGACATAAGTGAATACTATAAAAATTCCACTAATGTTGTGGTTTTTTTATTTAAAGAACTCAAAATGTTGTTCATATCCCTTTTGCATTTGCATGCCTATTTGAATCCTAATTTCATTAAAATCAACAGCAAATTCCTGTTGACTTCCAGTGGGGGGTCACAATTTCTTCCCTACATGGATATTTTAGGAAATAAATTTTCTGGAAAACACATTTGGGAAAGCAAAAAGTTAAGCCAAAATTGCAAAGTCTTCTTTGGGGAAAAATAAATATTTCCATTGCAATTATCAGTACTAGCTTTAGAATCTGATATTAAGAGATGATCAGACAATCAGAGAAGATAAATAATATGAAGATATTTATCTGTCAAGGAAAAACAGTTTGCCTGTCAGATACTGACTTCCAAACAAGCTACTTGAAAACAAACTGCAGACACACAATGATCTGCAGTATCAAATAATAAATATATGTTAGAAAACACCATCCGCTCTTGGGAAAACCATCAAAACAGAAAAAATAAACAAAATGCATTGGTTGAGTTATTCCATGATGAATGCTTCACCTGCTCAACCAGAGAGAAAGAGTGAGATGTGGAGTAATGGAGTTACACCAGCTGAGGGTATGGCCTAGCAATCCTGGCAAATGGGGTATTATATTTAGATCATGTATTAGCAAACTCTGCTGGGCAATCTTCAGTTAAAAATGAGCATTCCCCCCCCCCACACACACAGAGGGCTTGGAAATGGGAACAGTGCTCTTAGCAACCCTATATGAAGTCAGAGGACAAGACAAGGGCATTGCCTTTATGAAAGCAGACAGAATTGTTTCACCTCAAGTGGTCACCACGTACTAAGCAGTACATGAAGTCAGCATGCAGAAAAAAATGCAACACAAGTTAATGCCAGTAAGCGATCCCATAGGACTAAGTCAAGGTCTAGGTTCAGTGGCAGAGTGACTGCAGATGCAATTTGTCCAGCAAGAATCCACTCGGAAGGCACCTCAGAATAGCCATTTGTTTAGCAATTGGTAAATCAAGCAAAACTGAGGTGAAACGCTCAGGATTGGGGCTTTAATTCATCAAGTTGTTAAAAATGAAGGCTTAAGAGATAAGGTCAATGTTCTAGTCTGCTCTCACCCTGCCACACTGCTCTCGCCCTGTCACACTGCTCAGACAATTCAAAGTAGCCATAAGCGGGCTGGAGGTGGACAGTGAGAAGCTTACTATGAGTAAGGGAACTCGCTGCTGGCCTAAAGGTGGTGGAGACCTTTTGTACCAGTTATTACTGCACTTACTCTCAGTATAGGACCTTGCCAGAGATGAAGGAGGGATGCAGTGAAGTGGACTTATACACCTCTGGTGTATGCCATGGACTTTACATCAGTGGCATAAGGGGGAGCAACTCCACAGGGTCAGACAGCAGTGGTTGGCACCAGGCACAGTCTGGCTGCGTGGGGAGTTTAGCCCTTAGTTTTGTCACTTCGAGATCGTTTTCCTACCTCTGCTTTGTGTTGCCTGGCTCTCATCTCCCAGATCATCTTCTCCATAGGTTCTAATAGGGGAGCGTGCATAAGAATGTTTCTGAATAAGGCTCTCCACACTTTCTCTGTGGAAGAAAACAATATAGGATGTCAGTAGGCTCCTCACCTGCATCAGAATGTAAGCCATAGAATAATTCTCTACTAAAACTAAATCTAATGTGACTGGTATGAAGAGATGAATTGAGCCTGGACACTAGACTGAGAAAATAATTCATTAGGAAAAAAATCTCTTTGACAAATTTTGCCACTCTACTGCCCATGAAATGTCCAGACAGCCACAATCTTCTTATCTATATTTGCTATTCATATTTATTTAACAAAAAAGTTTAGCATATTTCAGTTATATTGTGGCCTGTTAAAAATACTACACTTGTTGCCCAGATGCAATGCTGCTTTTTCTCCTTGAATGAATGGCAACCCATTTATAGCCAGATTTCCAGTGTGAAACCTATCAGTTCTTGTAGACAATGAATATAAAACTGGCATTCAACAAAGACTGAAAGTGCAATTTCAAACTGGTGAACACTTGTGCTGGGAAAGCTCCATCTCGGTCAGTAGTGATGATCAGAATCTATTTCCCTGGGGACAAGTGTCCACACTGCAAATACTGGTCTATCAACTGGCAATTCCCCATTTTTTCAGAGACCATTGTCAAGATCAGGGAGAAGTGTACAAAGAGAAACCTCAAGGGTACTCCCTTCCTGTTAAGATTTACGCACACTAGTAACATAGCATGGAACAGTTGCAGTGTTCTTTGTCTTGCAGTAACTATTCTGTAGATTTAAAGACATTGGATAGGCCTAGATTTTCAAAGAGGCTGAGGCACAACCTATTTCCTGCGTAGTAAATTGGCCTTGTTACATGGTAAAAAAGGAACAAATGCATAACACACATCTCTACCACACAGTGGGTGCATCTACACATGCCCCTATGGCACCGTTAAGGCGCCATCAGTTAGTACCTCCAATACCTCCAATGACCTCCTAAAGGAAGTACTACATGATAGCATAGTAACAGTCATTACTGCACCATGCCAGTAGCGCATGGTTATTTTGAGCCGCCATGTGGCCGTAGCGACGCACTATAGTGAGGGAGTGCGTCACTACGATGATGTAGCTGCGGCATCACGGTTTCTGCCTGCCAATGCTATGTTGGTGTAGTGTGTTGCTACGGCAATGTGGCATCTTGTGTAGACGTGCCCAGTAATTCACTCAAATCTAGAGTAAAGGCACCAGTTGGGAAATAAGAGCAGTAACTTTACTATGTTGGAAAATGATCATGTGGAATGTGCCCTGTATCCACCCCCCTAGTCAATTCATCCTGATCTAGCTACTTGCTCAACACAAACTAGTTCTCTTGCCACTTTGTGGCCACACACCTTAAGAGAACCTATTGTGAGCAGTCTGCTAGTCCAGTTTGTGTCACCTCTTTCCTAAAGAGCAAATTTATTATGGGGTAAAATTAAGGGTGAATTATTTTAGAGTAACTGTAATCTGACACTTAAACAAGTACTAAATTCACATGAACAACTTCAGAAGAAAGTGCTGTCTACCTGATAAGTAATATCAATTAATGAAGATGACCAAAATAATCCCTGGTATATTTCCATTTAAATCAAGGGTATTATACCAAGTTACAACCTAACTCAGTCCCAAAGGGGTTTTATGTTCCTGTTCTCAGTTAAGAAATCTAGTTAACTGCAGCTGTTTATACTTTCCATTTGGTGTAGGCTTCTTTAGAATTTACCATTTGGTAATTAATAGCTACTAAATGTATTTTACTATGCCAATGTGGCTATTGCAAAAATTCCAAGAAAAAACATTTTCCAAATAGCACAGTAAATCACAATGCCACATGTTTTCCTTTCTTACAAAAAGGCCATTATAGTAATTTTGTCCTTGGTCTATCGCTGGTATCATTACTTATGCTAGTCTCCTAGAAAAAAAAAAGTGGATCTTATCAAAGTGATTTACTTGTGTCAGGATTGGAAGTGGACTGAAAGCAATGGCAGTTCCTACATAAAGGATGATATAATTGAATTATTGCCTTTTAAGTGATTGAAACCAGTGGTCATATCAGGGCTATCTTGAAGAAGATTTTACAAAGAAAAAGACAGATGGCATTGTTTACATTATGTATTTAATACCTCTTTTCCATTTTCAAGAAGAATGGGAAATGCAAAGATGTTTTACTTAAAAAGAGAGGGGGAGGGAGAGAGAGAGTACATCAGGCCAGCCTAAAAGACTAGGATAATGAAGCAAAATAGTCTTGGCTAAGTGGTTTAGATGCCAACCTGTAATAACTTTCGCATTTGAAGGCCATATACTCTGTAACTGGCTTTAAAAGCTCTAGAAAAAAAATAAATCACTTTCAGGTGATAGTCTCCATTGTCTCTATTGACTTTATTACTAGTAAATGTCCACTTGAAATGATACATTCTGATATACAGAATAATATTTTGATGCAACAGAAACCATGCAGGCTCTAGTTTTAGTCCAATGAGCCAAACCAGTCAGGTTTACTGGAGGTATTTTACCAGGTTCATTGGAGGTATATTCGGGAACTATTTGCCCCAGTAAATTTACCTTTAACTTACTCATGGGAATTTAAAGTTAAATCAAGTGCCTATAATATTTGCAGGCTAAATTCTTTCCAGATGGGTCCCTTTGCTGTACAGAAAACTCTATTATGCTCTTTGGTTGTCATCTTTTAAAGGGAAAAGAGATGACTTTTGAGTGAACCCTGAATTTGAGAAGTTTAAAAGTAGGGCAAGATATGGTAAAAGTATTTATTTTTAATTTTGCAGACATTATGCCAAAGATTTAAAAAGTGACATTATGCCAAAGATTTAAAAAGTGCTGACTGATTGTCAGCAGAAAAAGTATATTCAAGTAGAGACAAAAACAGAATGGGAAACTGAGATCAGAAAAAGCAGCTTGTTACATAAATATGTTAACTGTGAGCTACAACCTTGTAATGAGCAGCTAAGGGTTAAAATGCAAAACTTTACATAAATTATTTGAGCTTAACCATGCTTCTGGTTTGTGGTATTATCCAAAATTTAATTTTTTTAAGAGGCCTGGATTATGAGTCACATCATATGTCTGTACAAGGGAGTTAGATGGCAAGTCCCACATCCGCTTATGAACTTAGGCACCTGGACCACATAGCAGAATCCCCGACCCTGAGTTAGAAACCTTATTTAATGCCTGGAGAGAGTGGCATGTCTTGAAAGGGATTCACAAAAAGCAAACCTAAAGAAAACACTGGGCATCTTAAATTCTACCCTTCTTTTGGGCTTTGGTGCTCTACCAAGAGCTAAAACAGATGCCACCAGCAGTATCGGTGGTGGCTGGCGGTGGCCAGTAGCAAGCGGGGACCGCCCGCAGACACCACTGGCGGTGTCAGCAGTGAGGGGGAGGGGCCCCAGAGGCAACTACCCGCAGGCACCACCAGCAGCATCGGCGGCACTTTTCATGGCGGGGTGCACTGCCAATCTCAGGGGGTGCACATGCACCCGCATGTACCCGCTATGCGTTGCCAATGCCCCTGAGGGTAGGCACCCATAACCCTTTTGTTCAGAAATTAAACTGGGGTCACTCTTCTAAATCATGGCTGGCGAGGCAGTGAGAGTGGTGCTAGTCCCCTTTAATTCACTGCATAAGTGGTTAGAGCACTCATCCAGGACATGGACATATGTGTTTAAATCTTTCCTGTGCCAGGGGGATACACATCTATATTTCCCACTTCCCAACCATGTCACAAACATCAGGCCAGAAACTATTTAGGGTGTGGAGCTCACGATCCCTCCTGTTCAAGCTGTTTCGCTTTGCAGAAAAGGCTGACAGATCGAAGTCCCACATCCTATCCAATTACTATATAAAAAGAGATTGGCAGAGATTCCCCCTCTGGCCATGTTCAAAAGGAAAATGGCACAGTTGCTGCTGCATTTTGTCAAGCACCCAATGCAATAAGCATGCTCTGAGAACATCTAATCAGATTGAGCTCCTCATCTGAGAGCGAGGCTGAACACTTAGAATCATAGAAGGGACCTCTGGAAGTTATCTAGTCCAATCCCCTGCTCGAGGTAGGATCATCCCTATCTAAAGCATCTTAAACAAGTATCTGTCTAACATATTCATGACAATTCCCGGAACAACCATCACGCATAACTACCAAGCACAATGCCCGAAACATCAAAAACACCCATTAACTTGCCACAGGTGAAACAGGGTGACGAGTGCACTATCGTTTTCCTGCCATTGCGAGGACAGTGAGTAATATATCATATACCCTGTGTAACCTGATGGGGCTCTGGTGTGAGAGAGGCATTCAGGTGCTCAGCCCTGTCACGATGAAAGCAAAATGCCTTCATGTGCCACACTCTGGCACTTGTGCCAGGGGTTGCTGACCCCTGCTCTAGGCTTAGGTGGTTGCTGAGGATTTTATGCTCATCTTTTTAGATTTAGGCATTTAAATCTTGCCAAAGTCATCTATAGGTGCCTCAATCCTTCTGTGGACCTAGGCTTAAAGCCACGACACAGATTATCTGAATATTTTTATTAAAAAGTATACATTGTCTAGGATACCTTGAGTGAGGTGCTCCTAGAAGCAGAAAAGGAAAAAAAAAGTGTGTGTGTGTGGGGGGGAAACAAATATTCATTTATTTAAAATGTATAAGTTTTATATTTGTGTGTCTAAAAGTTCTTAAGCAAATTAAAGTAATTTATAACTAAATTGATCATGTCACAACATTGTTCAAAAGATTTATGGACATAATTTTATAAATTACTGAAAGATAAATCAATATTTGGCCATATTATGATTCTGTTCAATAAAAAATACTTAATAAATGAAAACTGTAAACAGAATCAGATTTTTGGTGTTTTTAAAGGCTTTCCATTAATTTTGTTCAGAGGTATTCTACATCAAGATGGACATCTTGTCAAAAATGAAGTAATTTCAGTTTAATCCAAGAAAAACTTTTTGTCCCCTGGGATTGGACAGTCATTACCTAATACTTGACTTACTGATTTTTGTTTTATAGAATATACTAGATCTCTCA